CTTTTCTCTTTATTAAAAAAGTTATACACTGTAGCTACTCTCTGTGGTTTACTCACATAGAATAAGAATCTGGAAGGGTTAATATCTGATTATTAAAAAAACAGCTCCAAACAAAAAAAACCCCAAAACTCTCTGCAGATCTGCACTTCTGCCACCACCTTCCCCCATCCCCAAAAGTTGTAGCGAACAGTCTGTTAGGGTGGTTGTTGCTGTGTCATAATATTGCATTATTTTATTTACAGGAGTCTTAAAAATAAGTTTAAGCTATTTGCATTGTAACTTGATAAATGTCAGCGTGTTGTGGAAATGTCCATGATTGAGCTAAATGTAGACTGAATAAAGATCTCCGTAGATCAGCTTGCTTGCTGGGAATTATTTTTGCCTTTCCTATTCTGTGATTAAGCCAAATTACCCAATATTTCACAAAGATTCTTATCTCTGGATATGCCCTTGGAATCACGTTTCCACAGCAACACAAAGCTACTGATTAAAAAAAAAAATATCCCTTTTAAACTTGAAATCAGAAGTTTAAATTTTATTTAGAGTTGTAATTAGCATGTTTGCCGGTAGCATCGTGTATTTTGTGTAAAACAGCCACGAGGGGAATACTCGTGGAAATGCTGGAAGGACGTGCCGCGGAGGGGAGGCCTGCAGGCAGCGCGGCAGAGCAGCAGGCCGGTGCTTCCAGGGGGAAGCAGCAGCCCTGTGTGGGATGCGGGGGCTGCAGGAGCCGGCAGCTGCGGCGTGCTCTCACTTGTTCCAGTTCTGCCCCAAATGAAACATGCGAGGAATAGCAATGGCTGCAAGAACGTGCAGCAGGCATTGTGGCAGGAGGGGCTGAGCTCTGGCCCTCGGCCACACGTGCCCGGTGAAAGCTTCCCCGGCCGGAGCTCATGGAGCGGGGCGCATGCCCGCGGCCGCGCTGCGCCTCCGAGCTGCGGCGCCTTGCTGCTCACCGCTCTTGGAAGCAGCCCCGCCCTGGGCTTCTGTTTGAAAAGGAAGTTGGTACCAGGGAGTAGAAGGATAAAAACTGGCTTTAAAAGTTATGTGGTGCAACTTCTTTGGTTACAAATGCTCATTTGTTTATTTTGTGCAGCTGCGCCTGATGTTTTACTTAGTCAAAACTTTGTTATGTATTTACAAGATACTTAAAATCAGCAATGATAAACTCTGCTGCCGGGGCTTGTATTGATTTTGACACGATGTTGCAAAAGTATCTAAATAACGGTGCCTTCGCAGGTTGTCACAGGTTAGTAACCACGGCTTGAAATAGGAATAATGTTGTGGCTACAACAGTTGGGCAGCTGCAAAATCTGTATTTAAATTTATCACATTGCAGATAAATAGCACTCACAGCTCTATGGTTGCTTCAGCTTGTGAGGCTGCACATGATTTGGGCGGAAATAAATCCTCCCTTCTGAATATTTAGAGTGTTGGTGTCTAGATTCATCATAATGGGACAGTTCTGATCAGTACATGTGCTTAACGATTAAAAATAAAAGCTATAAACTGACACTCTAAGAGTTCTTGATATGGGAACTGTTATTACCACTTTACAGATTTTTATCTTCTCTGGAAGAAAGTCAAGATAATAGAAAGTTCCTGACTTCAGAAGATGTCCCAGTTAACTGCTTCATTGCAGATACAACCAGCTGTTGTGAGGTTTGGTAGAAGCTGGCAGCCCAGACAAATAGGTTACACTGTGCACACTGGGACAGCACCGCCAGAATGCAAATAATCTAAATTTAGGATGCACCGGGAGGCGGATGGGATGTGCTGTGCAGCTGATGCTGGTCGGACTGCAGGGGGAGCACGGGTGATCAGGAGCTGCAGATGAGATCAGTAATTGCGGCTGCAGCCCGCAGAGATGAGCCGCTGCACGGCTGCAGGGAGATGCACCGGGGCCTGCATTTGCTCTCCTGCAGGGTGCTTGTGTTTGCAACTACTGGAATGCACCCTATGAGCAGCAAATTCCTTCAGCAGAGCTCTGGGGAGGAGTGTGTAAATCTGCTGCTGGTGGCAGACAGTGAACCGCTGGGTGGAGGGAAAGCTTGGGAAGTGGTTCAGTCTGCCTTACAAAGGACCCGGTTCTGTGAGTTTAAGGGGTTTCCTGCATAGTCAATCAGTTATTTCCATAGGGCTTCGTAGGCAAAACAGGGGTCTGGTTGTAGCCTGACTCTTCAATTCCACTAAAGTTCAGTCTAACGTGTAGCTTTTACACTTTCCTATAGCACGTGTCAAACCGAGAAAGCATTTCTAAAGGGTCACAGAATTTACATAAAGCAGTATGTGCTTTAAGGGCTGTGGCTGAGAATGTGAAATGCTGTTAACTAGATAATACAGATTCTCAGTGTACCTGTATTATGCATGACATTTAAAATATTATGCACCAGCAAGTGTACGTGACTGCTTGTGTGATTAGCTTCTTGCTCATAGAAGTTGAGATAATCCCTTGGATGTTTAATCAAGTTACAGAAAGGCTTATATTTCAAAAAGTTTGACATCGGGAATAAATCCAGTGTCCCTTTTAATGTTTCAGCTAGACAATATTTAAGTTTTTCTCCCCTCAGCTGAGGCAATGGAAGCTTAGCTGTGCTAGTGTGGGGAAACCTGATACAAACAGAAGGATGACTGTACGGGGAAGGTACCCTGGAGAGGAAACTGATTGCATCTTTATTCCAAATATGCAGCTTTTTTCCTCAGTGAACCAGGTGTATTATAGTTGAACCATCAGAAAGCAAAACTAGCCATCCTTTTCTAAATGAGAGCATAAACCTTTTGCAAAGAAAATGCTTGAAGGACTGTAGGTGAAACAGCTACAAGAGAAGAAATCTTGGTATTTTTAATTGGTGAATTCATGTTCATTTAATCTGTACAAGGAAAGATAACGTATTTTCTATCAATAAGCAACCCTTGCAAAGCAGTAACTGATTTATCAAGTATTTTAAGAGATTGGGAGCTTTTATTTAAGCAGCATCAATGGGTAAATATTGGCATTTTGCCTTTTTGTACTCTGCATAGCTGCTGCTGTCCAGTCCTTTGAAAGGAAGTAAGATTCTGCATTGTGGCAGAAAAAATGCTCAGGTCAGTACAGAGGAGGAGGCAGGAGGTTTGTTTATAATGATGAAATAGCCCATAGGATTCCTTCATTTCTTTCCCAAATCCAGGTTATTCGTGCTTCTGAGTTATTTCTGGTTTTGTTTTCTGCTTGTGACCTCACTGGTCTATCGTAAACACCACAGGTGATGAGCTAAGAAAATTACTGGAGCCCAAGTGCTCTTGGAGGCCATGCCAAGTTCCACTTACAACACTGGGTTATTATCTATTTTGGGACTGAGGAGCTGCTAATGTGTTATCTATACATATGCAGCAGGCACAGTTGTAATGAATACTTGCTCAGCATGTGGCATTTCAGAGCTCCCCATGGAGCATTTGAGTTCAGTGTTTCTAGAGGCAGATAAATGGTGCTGTCGGTGGGTACAGGCCAGGGTTGGGGACGCAGGCAGGTCGAAGGAATGGAGTGGGAAAACCGTGCAAAAAGGATGTCCTTACATATGCATATGCTGTATGAAGATCTTCCTGATGACCCTAATTGACTGAATTATATGTCCATTTGAATAATGAAAGTGAGAAATTTTAAACAGTTTTGCATCCAGTGATGACAGTACCATCTCAAAAACACCCTGTTGCACCGTATTTCTGCTTAGTTGTCAAAGAGCCTTGATGTGGCCAGGCATTTGAATTCCTCTAAGGTCTCCTTTTCTAATTGGATTTTTGCATTTTATTCTGCTTTACCTGGTCACCAGGTACCTGGACATCCCAGCAGAGTAAGGCAAAATAAAAGTGTATCAAAGAAAGTTCTGGGACTCAATTATAGAATATTGGTAGGATGTAAAGTCTCCTTGGCTGGTATGGTTATATTTTTATATTAAATAGTTGAGGCTAACAGAAATGTATGGGATGTAGGCTTGATTATTTTTTAATTTCTTAATAATTCAGTAGCAGGCTTGAATAGGGACAAAAATAATATAAACACATCTAAATTTTAATTAATTGAATTAACATATACTTCTAATACGGTAGAAGTTATGATAATGAGATGCTTTGTCATTTATATAAACACGACCATAGAAAACATACTAAAACTTGTTAGAATTCATAGTCCAGATTTCAGAAAATTAGGTGTGTTTCACTGAGACTTTTAATTAGACTCAGGCTGTCATGAATGCGTAGGCATGTTGAACAGAGGTACTATTTATTGAGCTGTTTATTGGTGTAGCTGGGAATGGCGTTCTGAGCTCCTGGAAAGAGTCAGGCACATGTAGGAGGCAGTGAGTGCCTTACCATGGGTCACTGTGATCCCCATTGTGCTGCTGCCTGCTTCCACTCCATGTGTGTACCTGGATGCAGCTCTCTTTCCTCAAACTCTTGTTATCTTTGGAATTGAACTTGGAAAGGTGTTGTCACAAATTCTCCATCCCTTTGTTCTTCCGTGTCTGTGTGGAGGTGCTGACAGTGTAGATTGATGGAAGCATGAAAGATTGTGACAACTGCTATTAGTTTTGGGGGCTGGACACAGGATGTGGTATTCTGCTGCTTAAGAGAAGGTTTTTCTGCACCCCAAAGTGAATGGGTTAACTCTAGATGAACTTTCTCAAACTTCTGATGATTGCAGCATATAGAAAAAACCTCAGGCTGGGTTGTTGCACAGGCTGACAAAGAGGACAAATACCTTCTCCTTTGTGCAGTACCCATGAATCAGAGATCCAAGTCAGCTGGGAAAGCCAATGGTCGTAGAGACCAAAATAGGCTGGTGAAAGAACAACAGTGTTTTGTCAGTTCACCAGACTGAAAGATGTGTCACTGTCACCTCTCCCCATTTGATAAAAGTAAATGTAAACAAAATGCACCACCCCTCTATTAAATAAATTCACATTCTTTCTTTCTGAATTGAATGAATTTAATGTTCATTGTAATTGATGTTATTGATTCTCTTCTAGTTCTGCTTATGATAATGTCAACAAAGTTCGAGTTGCTATAAAGAAAATCAGTCCTTTTGAGCATCAGACATACTGCCAGAGAACTCTGAGAGAGATCAAGATCCTACTGCGCTTCAGGCATGAGAATATTATTGGAATAAATGACATTATCAGAGCTCCAACTATTGAACAGATGAAAGATGTGTATCCTTTCAAAGTGTTATTTGGCATCATTAGTAATGGTTGTCTCCTCTCTTTTGATTGTTTCTTCCCCTTCATCCTCTTCCTTCCTAAATATTAATAAATGTTGGCTTCTATTATTGTAAATCAAAAAGGAAGTTAATAGTATTTGATCAGTTTATAGTTTTGATGTAGATGAGCACTAGTTTAATTCTTTCTTTTCCAGGAAAAGAGAATAATTTCTATCTTCCAAGGCAAAGAACTCAACATTGTGGAGAAGATTTAATTTAGTCACATAATTCTAGAACTATATTTGCTCTTAGTAGAGCTGCTGTTACAACTCGTTGCTTTGACGAGAAAGTAAAATAGCCAGACTCTGCTGTAATTGTCTCAAATTTTCTTGAATTAAGGGGGAAGAAAATTTAACTCATTCCTGTCCTGCCAAAGAAAACAAAAGCCCCTTCTTTCAATTTTCATTGCAATCTTATTAAAAAATAATCTGAATGAGTATATTGGAATTTAATATTGGTAAGGGAAGGACTGTTGTGTTCAATGTAGGATAATAAGTATATACAGTAGAGAAGAGCACTGAATTTTAAAAGTGGGGAGATGGTAGAGAAAATTGATCAGAAATTGAGATCCTCTACATTCCTGCTTTTATGCAACTGCAAACAAGTATCTTGGAAGCTTATTACTCATTAGCCAAAAAACCATGCTTTGTTTCTTGGCAAGCAGGATAGGAATCAGATGAAATTAAGACTCCAATAAAAGTCAAGCTCTACTATGAAGAAATAGAGGTTTATGATGATTAATTTGAGAGGATCAAGTGCTGGCGCCTCTTTATTCTGTAAAGGGCTGCATCATGTAACAGGATTGATTGGATTCCAAACTTCTAAAGGAAAAATCAGCCACATGATTTCATAATTGTCATCAAACAGACAAATAAGAGAGAAAAGATGTTCTAGAAGTTTCCTTGGGTACTGTGTGTTGATATCTGACATGACACCAAGTTTTTTTGCTGCCTTACATCTAATACCTCACAGATACATTGTGCAGGACCTTATGGAGACAGACCTTTACAAGCTCCTAAAGACTCAACACCTCAGCAACGACCACATTTGTTACTTCCTTTACCAGATTCTGAGAGGGTTAAAATATATCCATTCAGCCAATGTGCTTCACCGTGACCTCAAACCTTCCAACCTGCTGCTTAACACCACGTGTGATCTCAAGGTGAGTTGAAATCTCTTACAGATTCTCCTGCCATGGTCTTCATAAACGAACTGCTGTAACCATGAATGTGGGGTTTTTACTGGGTATTAATGTGATTTTTGTCCTGGAAAGATTGCCAAAACATTATTTGGTTTGATAAGATAATTATCAAGATTTGAGTGACTAAGAATCTGTTAGACTGCTGTAATGAGTGCATCACTGTTTCCATCTGGAGGCTGACTTGGAAACAGCCTCTTTGAAAGATGGGTGAAAATCCTGATCTGAAGCAGCGTCATGTTTACCTCAGAAGTAAACTCAGAACTGTGTATGTTTCAAGATTTGGTTTCTCTGTTTACACTGTTAATGTTTTGTTGTTGGAAAAGGACTTCATATTAGTGGGCAGCTAAAGCAGCATGTGAGATTCAGTGCTGATTAAATGCATGGCAATTACTTAGGGAGGGAATGTTCCTAATTTGCATTTCCAGTGATCAGCTCTGTACTCGTTAATACTACAGAAGGATGAGCTGTTATGATTCTTGGAAAATGTCAGTTCAATGCTTAGTGGCATTCAGTAAAACTAACCAAGTGTGAAGAAATAGAACAGAAATAGAGAATAAAACAGAAAACATGCCATTCTGTACCTTTCATTTGGTTTGAGTCTTCAATGTGATCATAGTTATCAACTTCTCCCAGTGACATGAGGAGAGCAGGATTTCAGAGTACTGCTCTCCATAACACAAAGAGCTCTTTAGACTGGTTCTCCTCTGCTGGGATGAGTACAGAGTAATCCAGTAGAATTTGCCAACACTGATAACGTTGTCAGTGGCAGAGGGACAGTGACTAGGGAGCAGTTGTGTTCGCGGATGGGTACAGAGGAATCCAGTAGAATTTGCCAACACTGATAACGTTGTCAGTGACTAGGGAGCAGTTGTCTGTACCTATGGAAAAGGCTGGGAGGGAGGAAAGGAGCAGGTGAAGTTTACTTGCAGCATTGTTAAGCTGTGGAATTTGGTATCACAGAGCACTGTAGATATTGCAGTTTTTAAAAAACCACCAAGCAAGTTAGCAGGAAAAAACCCTCATTGAGTGCTCGCTGTGGTTTAGAGTCCCACAGTGGCAGATCCATGGAAGATGAGAGAGGCATTGGAATTTGTTCCCCTTTTCACTGTACATCACATATTTGCTGCTGGCCACAGATGGAGTGGAATTACTGAGTTTACAGTGCTTGATCCCAGGTGGTACAGCTGTGTTTGTTGAATACTGTGTTGCTCCTAGTTACCCTTTGATTTTTAGTGTAGCTCTAACTTTCTCAATAAACAAACCACAAAACAAAAATGCCCTCTTCAAAGTGTGAACCAGTTGTGGGCTGTACAGGTTTGTCACAATTCCAAGAGTGTCACACAATTCCTTGCTGTTTGTATGCTGGTCCATTCTGAAGACTGGCTACATGATCAATTTTGTCTACATTAATGAAAACTCACAATTAATAAAACAACCAAGAATTGTTACATACTGTGGCAGGCATGAAAAGAAGGTGATGAGAGACAGATCTTAAAGGAAAATGCAAGTTAGTGTTTGTTTCACGATTTTACCAGTTACTCAGGAGATGCAACTGTTTGAGCCACCATCTTATCAGTAGCAATGAATCTCTGTTTCCTTTTATACAAATACACAGAGGCACAGGCTACTCAACAATACAACTGCAGGTATTTCAGTATATAGTAGTACTGTTGGTGTCATTTCATTTGCTTAGTAAATGGTTGCATGTACATGATCCTCCTAAATCTTCCCATCTGCTTCATAGCTTCATCCAATTTTAAACCATCTCTGTTTAAAAAACCCCGATGCTGAGTGCAAGAACATTGTTTTCAAGAAGTGGAAACTAAATATATAGATAGGATACTGGTTTTATTTATTTATTTATTTATTTATTATTTTAAAATTTATTTAGCAGGGAAGTAATTTCTTATGTCTCAGTAGCATCTGTTCTGTCTCTCCAAGGCATGAAGTACTGACTGACATACCCGGGTCTTTCATTATGTAGTTTTTTATTCTCTGCTATGACTTAGTGAAAATGCCAAGAAAATTTGCCTATTACTATATTGCTCTCAGATTACTTATTTTTGTTACCATTTTTGTTCACGTGGAGAAGCCTAAAAACCAGCTCCCTGTGTGTCCTGTGGGCACAGGGTGAGAAGGGTCTGCCCCCCCAGCTGCAGCCAGAGCTGTGCCCATCCCTCACCCGGGGCTGCACGCAGAGCCCTGGATCTCCAGCGTCCCTTTCACTCTGTGCTGTCACTCCTGTCAGCTCTGCAGCCAAAACCTCTTCCTTGCAGCTTCAACCTTGAAGTCTTTCTCACTAATGGTGTTTCTGCTTTTCTGCTTAACCTGTTTCTGCTCCAGTCAGCAGGGGCTTTTTGTCATTTTAATGAGCTCTCTTTGTCATTATTCTTCCTTTCCATCCCATGAGCATTTTTCTACTTGAGTTGAGAGATTCAGAGACATCTTCTGTAATTCAGTTCTTGCTTTTCGCTTTGGACCACAGAGTGTCTTTCTTCTTTTGTTTTAATAGTAACAAACCCTGGCACTTTGCTTTTGTGTAATACTGAAATTCTGCACAAGTCTCTTTGCCTGTAATCTTGTCTAGTTTTTTCTGAGGTTAGGAGGAAGAGATTACAACAATTTTGCTTGCTGCATAATTATTTTCTGAAGTCTTTAAGCTGTTTCTTCGTTTCTTCGTTTGTCTTTAGAGGAGGCTCTTCTGATTATTTGTACTGAGTCTCTTTATGTAAGCTAATTGCACACAAGACAGCTGCCCTGTTCCTGTAGCCTGGGAGAACTTTGCCATGCTTTAAAAAGGTTCTTTTTGGGGTTGTTTTCTAAGAAATCAGGGAGCTGGGTTTATTTTTTTAGTATGTAGCTAAAGTAATGGCATGCAGCTTGGCTTATGGCATTCATCATTGCCTTTTCTTCAGACCCTTTGTGTAACAGTCAGCTGCTGAGTTTTGTCTTTCAGATACAGCTTTTATTCAGGTGAAGTATTTCTTCCCTCACTGATCTATCAGTTATTTCACTGACAGGATGTCCCTACAGGAAAATTAAGAAATGTCTGCCAGGGCAAAGTGAGGTTTCTGTGGTTGTGGTAGGATTTTCCATTACTGACTTTATTGACTACAGCCTATTTTCACTTCACATTTTCAGTATAATTACTGTACACAATTAACTATCTAAGAGTAAATATTATAAAACAAATGTAGCAGAGGAACCTCCCACTGTTTGCCACTCCTACATTTGATGCCTGGTTTTCCTGAAAGTATGTATTCTTTCATGGACATACACTTTGTGTGGCAATCATAACCTGGTATTTTTTGGGGGGGCAGCAGAAGCTTGTGAATGTGTCTAATGTGCCTCTCAACAGCCTTGCCACTGACCTTTGGGGTGCTAAGAAAGGAACAGCTGCTCTGCTCTACAACAATCTGTCTTCACATTTTCAATTTTCTTAATTTCTCTCTAGACACTAAATAGCTCTGAAAACCATGGAGCCTCCTTACCAGAGCAGAACTAAAACCACCTTTTTCTTTTTTCTGAACTCACTAGTCTAAATCGGTGTTTGTTTTTCTTTTCATGGTTAGATAAAACTATTTTCCTTATAAGGGGTTGAGAAATATTTCCTTGCTTGTGTTTTGTTTTTGGGAGATTTTTTTTTTCTTTTAGGCTTATGCTTCCTTCAACAGCTCATAATCTCTCCAGTCTACCATTATCTCATGATTGGATAGGTTGTTTCTTATGCAAAGATGCAATTATGATGATAGCTTTTGTAAAATAGGGTGTTGAACTTGGTTACAAATGTGTTGGTTGCTAATTATGTTTTCTGGAAGTCTTAATTGCTATTCATTTTGTTTTCTGGTGAGTTTCTGAGAGGTTGGAGCAGTGGATCTTTGCCTGTTTGGCAGGTGCTGTAAGCAAGCCCATAGTGGAACATAAATTATGAACTGTTTATTCTTACTGGCCCCTGAATGGCAGGTGGATATTTTTTTAATTGATCCAAAACATTTTTCTTCACTTTTGTGCAATAACATTTGTGGATGTTACATCATTGACTGGGGAGTGGTGAATCAGTAATGTTATAGTATTGGAATTGTGTCTAATGTGCCTTTTTCCCCCCTATTTACTTCTCTACAACCAGATTTGTGACTTTGGATTGGCTCGCGTTGCAGATCCCGATCATGATCACACAGGATTCCTGACAGAGTATGTGGCCACACGTTGGTACAGGGCTCCTGAAATCATGCTGAATTCTAAGGTAAGGGCCACAGTGAGCTGCTGGGGTGCTGCTGTTGCTGCTTACTCCCTTGTGAGTTCCAGCTGTGCTTGGAACAGCAAGCCCTTCTGTGGTATTAGGATCAGAATGCATGCACAGTCTTGGGGAGAAGTGGGCATGGTTTCCAGTAGAGCTACTCGAAATAAATTGTAATTCCAGAATCAGTTACTGGGTACTAGAACTGAGAAATCACGTGCTCATCTTCCCACATCTCCAGTTCCTTGCCAGTCATGCTTCCATCACCTGCTGTGCCACTGAGCAGGACAGGAGTGCTGGGAATGAGCATTCCACTGCTGCCTCCATCAAGGCTGCAAGTGTTCCCTTAATGTTATCTTGACATCTTAACTTGGGTTTAGAATGTATAATGAGAGTGAATCTGATTCTGAATGAAGGCATGTGATCCTTCTTATGTGTCAGTCTTAATTGCATACCCATAGTCTTCATGAAATCATTCCTTTGCTTTTTATATATTTGGATTTACTGTTGTGTTCTGTGGCCGTTTAAGGTGCATCCAATCCTTGTGTAGGTGGTGGGTGTCCTTCAGAACCCCTGTGTTCACTCCCACAGCCAGACACTTGTTAGCAAAACACCTGGGTGACACCTGGAGCTGTATTTTATATTCTGGGACAGCTGTTCCTGTAGGATTTACAGCTTTTCCAGTGGGTGGGTTTGTTTTGGTGTGTCAATAGCATGTCCAAGCACTTCAAGAAAATAGATGTCTGACCAACTGAGGGCATTTTCCCCCAGCTTCTTTTATTTTAAACTCACATCTTCTATTTTAAACCCTCACAGCACTGGGCTGCCCACATCTACTTATCAAAGGCTTTCACAACAAATACATTTTGTCTTTGTAAGAGGTGGTCAGATTAAAAGTTCCTGGCTTAATGTGTGATTCCTTTTATGATTCTGGTGCCTTGAACACAAATGGTGAAGGGATGACATCCTGAGGAGCTGGTGCCCAGTGGCTGTGGGGTCAGTGGGGCAGAGCCTTCCCAGGGGACAGGCAGTGGCAGCAGGCCAGGCACAGTGGGGCTCTGTCACTGGCGGGTGTCACTGTGGATGGCACGGGTTAGCCGTACACGTGGATATCCCCCTGGTTGTTCCATTCCTGTTGTACCCCAGTGACTGGTGTGGTCTCCTCCCAGCATCTTCACCTCTTCCTGCCTGTCGTGTTGTACCAACAGCCGTTGATGTGGCCATTTCCCCCTTTGCCAAAGGCCTGGTCCTGGAGTGCTGCTTGGATCCCCTCAGGGACAGCTGCTTTCACACATGCTCAGCACTCTGTCAGGGGCTGTGCAATTCAGAATACCTGGTTTCCAAAATGTTATAGAATTAGGGAATCTCAACAATTTGCAGTTGGTAACAGATTTAGCTAAACTTAAAAAATCCTTTTGGAAAACCGTATCTTGGAGACTTCAGTTCTTTCTACCCCTTCAAAGTAGTGTTTTAATATATGGTCCTTAATTATTTCATTTGTACAGAAAAACCAAACAGCATGAGCGAGCACGACTCATCTGAAAAAGAAAAAGATGATTTGTGTGCACTTTCACAGTTTACTAAAGTAACATGCTGCTGCTATTATATAAAAATCTGACAAAAATGTGCTTCTGCTTCCCTTGCAGGGTTACACCAAGTCTATTGACATCTGGTCAGTGGGCTGCATTCTGGCAGAGATGCTCTCCAACAGACCCATCTTCCCAGGAAAACACTACCTTGACCAACTTAACCATATCCTTGGTAAGCTTTATGGAAAAGCAGCATTTCCACATCCATCTGTCTCTCTCCATCGTTCCTGCCAGCTGGGCTGGTCTTTCTCCAGTGGGCACTCTGTAAGGTGTGGATCTGCAGGTGTGGCCACTGTCCCCTCTCGTTATTTTTCAGCATTGCTGCAGGTAATCATTGTTTTGGGGACAGCTAGAGAATACTTGGCAATTTATTTACTACATCAGCAGATACATTTTTAAAACAAAATTTTAAAAAATAAATTAAAAGCTCGTATATTATTAGGCGCAGGTCAAATTTTTAAAAATTTCTTTAGGTACACCACTTACTGAGATCCTTCTGAGAGATTACAGATCATTAGAAAACTCAGATCCATTTATCTATTTAACAAATGGTTTTTAGTAAAAGTTTCTTAAATCTACTCCGGTATTCTCTATCCCTAAAACATTTGGTCTGAAATCTCCTTCCCAGCAGTTTAATACTGAGTTTTAGCAAATATGATACAGCTGTGTTAATGTGATTTTCAGAGAATGCACTATTGTTTGTATTCCTGTTTTTTAGGTATACTTGGATCCCCTTCCCAAGAAGATTTGAATTGTATAATAAATTTAAAGGCCAGAAACTACTTACTTTCTCTACCACACAAAAATAAGGTACCATGGAACAGGCTGTTTCCAAACGCTGACCCCAAAGGTATTTTATATTCTATTACATTGTATCCAAGCAATGGCAGGATGGGAGCTTCTATAACCTAAGAATTTATCTTTATACTGGAAGTAGAACATGCAGGCGCCTTAAAATAGCACTGTAAATCTAATATAAAATCATAAACCAGCACAAAGCCCTCACACTAGTTTATCTTTTTAATGCAATTTTTAATAACTCTAAGATTACCTCTTGTGGCATTTGGTCTTTTAACATACATATGGAATCCAAACTCTTGTCGCTGTCCTTGGAAGTACAGTACATTATTCAAGAGCTGATCATCAGCACTGGATTCCAACACTGGCATCAAACAATCTTGAACTTTGTTTCTAACTTCAGACAGGAGGCAGCTGCTTGCTGCTGCCCTGGGTAGAGTTTTTACACCTGTGCATCAGGTGTGGCTTAAACAGGGTCTCGTCAGTGGGTGGGATCCTTAGGTACCATGAAAGCGTAACATTTAATGGGCTAAATAATTCCTTGGAAGTACAGTACATTATTCAAGAGCTGATCATCAGCACTGGATTCCAACACTGGCATCAAACAATCTTGAACTTTGTTTCTAACTTCAGACAGGAGGCAGCTGCTTGCTGCTGCCCTGGGTAGAGTTTTTACACCTGTGCATCAGGTGTGGCTTAAACAGGGTCTCGTCAGTGGGTGGGATCCTTAGGTACCATGAAAGCTTAATATTTAATGGGTTAAATAATTCAGTTAGGATGTGTGGAGAAAAAGTTATAGAAGCAAGGAATATATTATTTGTTAGCCTTTCTTAGCAAGGCTTTAGTAAAGAGTAAATTTTTTTTTTTTGCTAGATAGTTTTTAATTTACCTTTTATACTCAACTTCGTACAGTTTAAGGGTGGTTGTGTTCACAGTACAGTGCTTTTTTACCTGCTCTAGTACAATTCATAAGTCACTTCTTAACTGATATGATAATTTACTCTTAGTGGATATGATCAGGTACTGAATTACCATGTAAAAGCTGATTTCTGCAGATGGAACTGTGTGGAGCTGATTATCCCTGTCATTGAGGAAAACAGCAGTGATTTATTCTGCTTTTATAACAGTGCTCATCAGTGTGAGAATCCTCCCTGTGGGCTTTGACAGCTCAGATGGCAGCAGTGCTGGTACCTGAGCTGAGGGGGAGTGTGCGTTTGGTGCAGCCCCTTGGCAGTGACAGCCCGGGGCAGCTGTGCCAGGGCAGCTGTGCCAGGGCAGCTGTGCCAGGGCAGCCGTGCCAGGGCAGCTTCCAGGAGCTGGCTGTCACTCAGGGCAGGGCAGCGCTGTGCCCGGCGGGAGCTCCCGGCGCTGAGGAAGCCACAGCAAAACACAGAGTGATGGCTGCGGTGCAGCTCTGGGGCTTTGGGAGCTGCCCTCGAGTGCAGGGGCGTCTCCTGTGCAGTGCTGAGCGCTGCAGAGGCCCAGAGGAGCTCCCTGCAGCGGCGGGGTGAGGCGCCGGTGCATCCTCCCTCCCCAGGCTGCGCTGTGACCTGAGGTCACAGGTGTGCTCCTCATCCTGGTGCAAAGCTGCAACTGCTGCGCTGCATCAAGAAGCCTCTGTTAAAATTCTGGTTCATAAATGATGTGGTGAGGAGAAGAAATGTGATGGAATTTAGGATACTGCAGGTATCTTAGGGCTTCTTGCTCCTACAATCAGTTTTTCCTCTTCTTGGAAAAGCGAAATATGTTACAGGCAAAGTAGCTGACCAATCAGTAGCACTGATTTGTGATGTCTGTCCAGAGTTTCACCAGACCTCACTCTCTGCTTACTGAATCTTCAGGTTCTTTATGGATTCTTTGCGAGTTGTCTTCAACAGATTTTGCCTGAATCTCATGAATATAAATGTATTTTCATCTTCTCTGGAGGGTATCTTCTCTGCTGCTGGTTGTGCCAGAATATTTCACTGTGATGATCTAGAACTTCTAATGACTTCTGGATGATATTTTCATCTGTAAACAGCCAAGTTTTCTTTTCAGAATAAGAACATATTCATAATTATTTCAGAAAAGCTCCATCTTAGTTTGGATTTTGGCACAAAAATCCAAAGCATTTTTCTGAGAGAAGAAGAAGTCTCATCTATTTAATTTCTGTTGTAGTTCAAGCCAGATTGTGCTGTAGGATTCGATGCACTGCTTGCCTTGCCATTCATTCTGGGGCTGAAAGGCTTGGGCAGGGTAACACCTCTGCTGGGGCAGGTGCTGCCCTGGAATGCTGAGAGAGGGGCAGGCACAGCCTCTGTGCCCACGTTCCAGCTCCCAGCTACAGCAGGGGAGCTCCAGGGGGGAGCTGCCATTAGCACAGACTTTGGGTTGTGGGTATTGTCTGGATAAGGTCAAGCTTTGTGACACTTTTTTGGAGTGTGTATTAAACCCTTGCTTACTTTTTTGCCTCTTAGCACTTGATTTGTTGGATAAAATGTTGACCTTTAATCCTCATAAGCGGATTGAAGTGGAGCAAGCTTTAGCCCATCCATATCTGGAGCAGTATTATGATCCAAGTGATGAGGTAAAGACATTGTTAAAATGTAAATATTGGTAAAATTATCCAGCTGATTATTTTCTGCTTTACTTCAGGGGTTGTATTTCTACTGCACTAACGGAATTGAAGAACAAATTGCATCAATTTACTAAAATTTGTATTTCTCACTTTAGTACAACACATAGGAGATGCTACACAATAAATAGATACTAAGGTGTCCTCCCTCTCCAGAAAATGGAGATTCTCAGCTCATGTGAGGCCTGGTTTTATAATGTCTGAGGTAAAGAAGGAGAATCACTGAGTTTGCCATCAGATTATGCTTTAAAAGCCTGAATTGGAACTGTAGTTTATATACAATTCTGAGGAGATTTCTGGCTCCTTTTTGTGAAGAAATAGGGGAGGAGGAAATAACCTAGTTTTACTTAAGGGCCAGATATGTTTATTCCAATAAATAAAAATGTTTAAGATAATATTTTTCTTCAAGTAGATACTGAGTTATGACCCTCAAATAAATATTTCAACTTGTAATTAGGATTTGACTAGCTACTTACTGTGTTTCCTGTAAAATTTGGTAAATTAATACATAAAGCACACATAGGACTAATAGGGGGAGTTCTGCCTTGAAGGCTGCTCAGTGTTAGGTGTTTTGTGAAGGACATTTCCAGACTTTTCCCCCATCCATAAAAGGACTGCATGAAATTCAGCAGCACGGTGACATTAATCACATTTCTTTGTGTTATTAAGCCTGTAGCTGAAGCCCCCTTCAAGTTTGATATGGAGTTGGATGACTTGCCGAAGGAAAAGCTGAAAGAATTGATTTTTGAGGAAACCGCAAGATTCCAGCCAGGATACCGATCTTAAATCGTGCATAGGTAAAGTCACAGCAACAGGGGACACTGGGGCAGGGGGGACATCTGGGACTTTGGTGCTGCTGGTGAAATGCAGGACTTCCCTTTCCCAGTACCAGTAACTCCCTGTCCAAGGAGCTGACCTCAGTTCTGTCCTGTTTTTGAGGAAAGTTTCTGTTTGCCCACAGCACTGAGGTGTCCACATGGAATCCAGGCAACTGTCCGAGGTGTTTACCTTACTTGTAGGTTACATTTAGGGAATAAGAATTGCATTTCAATAGTGCTGCTTAGAATAAAAGCAATGGTAACACATTGAAATGCAAATTCTATTTTTAAAAAAACTTAGGGGGCAATGTTCTTCATATTTTACAGATACATAATTTTGTCATATGGCTTCAAATGCTCTTTAAAAAACCTCCTCCTAAATGTAATATACAGAGGAGAAATCTCTTAAGTTATATTTTAAAGGAAAAAACCCACACATGACACTTCAGTAGGGAATTATCTTTAGTTTTAAGTAGCTCCCAAATAGTGTGAGTAAATAAGAATAGGTATTTAAGTATTCATAAATGAATTATGATTAATCTTCCCAGCATTTTGAAGGTCTGAAAGTTCAATTTAAGATGAAATGTACTGATATTTACTGACTGTTTTTTAAAATCAATGACCTTAACTGGTCTTCCTGTACCACAAGGCTTGCAAGTCTCAGGAGTTTCATACCAAACTGGTCAAACACTGACTTGATTGGAGTACCTGTGAAACTTCTGTGATACTGATAGGGGAAAGTATCACATTTTTATGAGTGGAAAGGAAAAACAAGCCAAAGGCAACAGGCTGCCCTTGGTTTCCTGCTTTGTGCTCTCTGTGCTTTCCCCCCTCAGAGCAGCATTCTGCAATCACGCTTTGCGTGGGCAGTTCCAGCAGGAAGGTGAAGTTTTGAGCCAGGGCACTTCCTTGCTGCCAGAAATCCACAGCTCTGCTGGCAGTGTGCAGGAACTTTGTGGCTTTGCTATAAGCAATAATTTTTCTGCACTAAAAATGTGATTTCAGTTTCTGCATTGCATGTACCCCCAGGTTTTCATTTAATTATGAATTAATAGGAAAGAAGAAGAAAAGAAAGTGGGGAAACTTCTAAAAGTACAGTTTTTACTTTAATGGGGTAACTGCTGTTGCCACTGGCTTAAATATTTAGATGTATAGAAGCTCACAAATGAACAAATTTCAGTTTTTACAAATACTGCATTTTGTGTATTTAAGCTTGGAACTGTTGTAATAATGAAAAGGTAGGGAAATCTGAGGTTCACACACTGGTTCTGTTAGTTGGCATTGTTAGTAGAGCAGACCTGGGACACAGTAACTGGCTGGTGTTAATGTCCCACCCGTGTTTTCTGAGTGAGAACAGAGCTGTGCATGTGCACATGGTGGAAGAAAGTTACAGAAATCTTTAGGAACAGATGGAGCCTGTTCCTAATAGGGTGTAGTCTTAAGGAAGGGTAGTGAGTGGTTACTGATGTGGTAAATCATGGTTTGTGATCTCATGCTTGCCTCTTTGCTCAGACCATACTTACCTAGGTTGTATTAGGGATTAAGGGATAAAAGGATTAGGGATAAAGATATCAGTGATCTGTTGCTAGCAGAAATTTCTGGTTTGATAAAATCCTTACCTTCAAATGCTACTATGCAGAGTTGATTTGGCCAGCATAATACTGAAATTGAAACATTGTACTTAGCTTGATGAGGATATGCTGGTAATTTGTCCGAGTCATTTGTGGTTAGGATTGCCAGCTATGCCATAGCACAGCAGTTTAAACATGGCTGCTTGACATCCTAGTGAGGGCCAGTCCCCAGGAGTTGGCTCCAAATGCACAGTAACTGTCCTGCTGTGCATTCCTGTTCTCCTGCACACTCCCTCTTTGCTCAATCAGCCAGCTCTTCTCACTGGGCTGTTTCTCAAGATTCAAAGTTTCCCCTGAGCTGTGGGTTTTGGAATTGAGAAGAAATATGAAAAGAACCGATTTTTGGTTCAGACAAACAATGTTACTTCATTGATTAGTTATGTTTAATCTTCTTAATCTTTTGAAGAATTAATAGTTTAAAATGGAATGCCCTGAGATTTACTGTCTCTGAGTTCTTTTTTAACATCTGTAGATCCTGCTGGCTCTGGCCGATGGTGAACAGAGTGCACAGAGCACAGAAATGGGAAAGGGCTTGTTTTAAAAGGTGATGTTAAACTTGCTTCACTGAAATATATCTCTGCTCTCTTGTAGGACAAGGACTTAAAGGACTGGGCATGCTCAAATGTTGCTGTTCCTCTTCCCAGTTCTTTATTGTTGGTCATGTCTTGTGGCCTCTCTCAGCTTATCCACTAACTCCTTTGAGCCATTCAGGAGGGCGGTTCCTGGTAGTTTTGGCTTTTCATGCTTTCAATGAATCTTTTAAGCCTGAAGAATTGTAATTGACACTCCTATGCGTAATGCCCATTGTTGACCTGTTGCAGTACTGTACTGTACGTGCACCTACTGCTGCCCGTGTTTTAACTGCTTGCTTTCTGGTTTGAAAGATGCAGTGGTTCCTTTCACTCCTGGATCAATATCCAAGAAGATAATTCATTAACCTGTAAGACGTTTACACCATGAACTGTGTTTTTCTGACTTTACTGAAGTCGCTGGCATTTTTTTTTTAGAAAAGCTACTATTCAGGGCACTTTAAGTCAGTGACATCCCAGATTTTTTTTGCACGTCCTTTTTAAATAGAAATGGTTGGTTAGCATCCGGCAGAGTGTACCATTATGCTATGGATTGCAGCATAAGTTGTGTTCATGTTAATCTTGCTTATGCACTTGTTTGGGTGTCCTGTGCTGTACATACAGGTATTCTATCCAGTGTAAGAGCCACATAGGAGCCCAACTTAACTGAATTCATCTAAGAAACATTTTTCCATGTATTGACAAAATTTGTACCTTTTTCTCCCTGCTTTTCCTAAGAGAGATCATTTAAAGTTTACCCGTGTTGGAGGCATACTACTCCCAAAGTTCTACCATGCAGTAGTGTTTGTACGGCCTGTGCAAAGGCAAGGTGGCAGCTGCAGCTGCTCCTGGCTCCCTGAGTGCTGGAAGGGTTAACACAGACCACGATGGCACCGTGACCCCATGGCCAGTGCTTTTCCTGGGCGAGGCAGCCAAGCAAGAAAAGCAAGAAATCAGAATATCATGTTAATTAACTCAGTCTACATCCTGCTTACCAATGAAATGCTTCAAATGAGGATTGATAGTTTTGACATTTGAATCTAATCACTGACATTTAGATTCTTGCAGAGAGGAACACTGCATCTTCAAATGAGAAAGTTTGATTTTACTTTTGCTCCTACAGCATGTCAGCATCTCAAGTTCATTTCTTGCAACCTACACTATGGTGATTTGTAATCAAGCCTCCATGAGCTCGTGACATGAAGTACTGTTCTGTTGTCAAGTACTATCAAACTTTTCTGATAATGCTGAGTTAGGACAACCAAACAAAGCTAGCACTAAATAACATTTAAAATTGTATACCTTTTAATGATCTTTTCAAGTATTTGTTACTGAAATTGTATAATGTGGAGTTTACTAGGTGTTATGTTCCAGTGCAGTGCCTCCTTTTCTTTCCCCACTGCTCTCTGTGGTGAGAAATTTGCCTTGTTTAAAATAATTACTGTGCCCTCGCATGACTGTTAAAGCTTTCTGTGCAAAGATGATTGTCTAAGTGCCACATGCCTATGATTGAGAAAAAAAAATAATCTATTGTTACCTCTGAGTTGTGTTCAACTGAAATGCTATTCAACAAATAACTTAGGAAAAATAGTTCTATTTTTAGCTTTTCATATCTCTGCTGTCTTTTTCTCATTTTATTTTGGCAGCAGTGAAGAATGGATTGTATAAAGACTGCTTGCTAATATGAACAAAATGCACTTGTAATTCCTGGAAATAAATTTAAATCTTATATCTTCACATTAACATTAAGAATTAGTTTTTGGTTTCCTCTTGGGTAATGTCTTTGAATGGAAATCAGGTTCAATTGCTACTGTAGTACATAAGGATGCTGGCTGGTTAATAACTCCAGGCTTCCTCATACCATTTAGTCTGCTCTTCAGAGAAATCTAGAAAGCCATTAACTTAGACTCCAGTAGATAAGGGTGCTTACAAGATTCCATTTCAATTTTGTTTTCCTATAGTTTAAGTGTTAATCTGCCAAAACTAATTTTTAATAAGCAAGGGTTCATCATTAAAGGGCATTTTCTATTAGGAAGTTCCTGTGGTACATAAATCTCTGACGTGGGGAACAAATTCGGAGCATTGTCAGGACACTGCACAAGTGATCATGGAATCGTGGTATGGAACCTATGCTAAAAACATTTCTGTAGAAGAAATATGCACTTGACTGTTGATACCAGTGTAGAAATTTCTCTTGACCTTTCTACACATCTTTACCAAAATGCTTTTCTCACTCAGTTTTGAGAAGTTGAAATAGTTCTAGAATCTCTGCTACTTGCATGATCATCATTACAACGGGAATCATTTTTGGCATGGTTGGAAAGATGACTGTTACTGAAATTAGTTTGTAACACCTCCGTTTTAATTTATTAAGGAAGAACTTCGGCAGCTTACTTCACCCTTCTCTTTCCCAATTATTTTTTTTAATACTGTCTTTAATTTGGGATGTTTGGGGTGGTGTAGACTTACCCTTGCATCCTGTCTCTCTGAGTGAGAAGCCGAGGATTTGCTTTACCTAATGTCTGGTGCTTTTGGGCTTTCTTCCTTAGCTACTTTTGCTGGATCCAATTGGCATCCATCAGGATCCATAACCACATTCATCGGCCTTTTACTGAATCCAGTAAACATTGTTGGGTTGAATTTGTTGATGCGTCAAATGCTGAAGCACGATTTTTTTTTTGGTGAGATTTTAAAAATAGTTTAAAGAAGGTGCCTCTAACAACACTGTGTTAGGTCAGTTATTTCATCATTTTACATTGGGTTCTTTTCTTTATGCAGTTTTTATATTTTAAAGCGGAGAACAGCAACTCTTAATCGAAGTAGCATGCATATTTCATGGTAAAGATGCTTTGGGAATAAGGAATGTAAACAGTTCACTGTCAAAAACATTCCAACCTTACAGCTGAAGAAAAATATGCAAACACAAAATTCTCATGGATGCTTTGGCAAACAAGCCTCTGACTCTGCTGTCCTGCCTGTGGCCAGACTCTTCCTCACCCCGGTGACGCCAGAGCTGGGCCGCGTGCGCCGGGAGCTTCCGGGAGCGGCAGCGGGGACAGAACTCGGCAGTGGCCAAACAAAAGCTGAGGAGCTGAGCAGGGCTTTCCTTGCAGAATGAGAGAAAGAAAAACCTGTTGTTGCTGCCCACTGTAATATGCTATGATATATTTATACCATGTCAAAGTTGTTTGCTGAGCAACTGTACTATAGATTTAAACTTTATTAATATATATTTGCTTATGTTAGTGTAGTTTATATAGTCCTTGGTTATTGATAAATTTATTGTGTTGTTACAGCACAGTGATATGGTATAAATATAGGTCTATACATACACACCATATACTTATGAATTTGGTCCCTTGCATAGTACTTTTATATTTGTACAGCAATGTCTTCAAGCAATCCCAGATTTTAGGGGAAATATTTTTGTAAATGCAGTGGTTTAAACAAAAAAGTCCAAACAATCCTTTTACTAAGTTTTAAATACATTTGTGGTTCAAAATGGTTTAGTTAACAATTGAAATCAAGACACTAAATTAGTGAAAAGTGCACATTAGTAAAGTGAAGCTTACAGTGGTTTTTGTAGCATGTGCTGTGATCAAACCAAGTGACACATCGGCAGAAATGTAAAAGTTGGACTACATGTGTAAATCTAGAACAAATTTCTAAAGGTTGCAGCTGGTTTACTTACTATTGTTGCCTTTTCTCGTGTTGTATCAGTGTAGAGCACTCTTAAAATACTCAAACTGCTTTGTCTTTGCTTTGTACTGTTGGTGCCTTCTTAGTCATGTACCCCACAAGTCCTGCATAGCTAATTTAGTTAATGGTAAGTTTAAAATAAAAAAGCAAAGGAAGATTTTATAAAAAATAAATAAATCATTTTCTGTATGTTCTTATTCATTGTAACAATTAAACATTTATATTGTGACAGATTTGTGATTTGGTTAATCTGTATAGATCAATTGTAAGTAGCAAAGGTTTATATTTCGTCTTATTCTTTTGATGTTGTAAACGTTTGTGATTTTCTTTTTTAAATCAGGTAACTTAATGTTCTGTTTTGTTTTTGGCATCTGAATCTTGTAAAAACAAATGCAAAGAAAATCATTAAATTGTGTCCCTGTATTACCAAACCAGCATAGTTCCGTGCATATCTAGAACGACTGGGACTTTGCTTTGGCCTGAGCTGCTCCATTGGCTGAGCCAAGCCCGCCCCTCCTTGGGAGTGCACGGGGAGCAGCCTGCAGGCAGAGCTGGAGCTGCTCAAGGTGTGTGTCCCCCTGTGTAACAACTTGTACCAATTAAGTTAGGGAAGCCATCCCAAAAAAAAAAAAAATTTAAAAACCCACAGATGAGCTTTCTTTATAGACAGGCAGAATGTTTTATCTTTGGTGTGAGAAAATGATGAAATCTTGACCCCTTGAATGATGCAAATCAATGTCAGTGTTACCTGATGGTTCACAGGCTTTTTCACAGACACTCTTTATATGGATATTCATATTGCACTGTTCCCATGAAATCTTGAACATTTTTACTTGTGTAATCCTTAGAAACAAAATGGTTTCATTTCAGTACAAAAAGGTTTTTCTCCAACCAGGGATTTGAAATGTGTGATTTCTGGGAGCAGTGCAAGTAAGTTCATATCACTGTCATGGACTTTTAATTCTTCTTCAAAGAATTTAACTCTTAAAAGGTGTAGCTGGATAATGGCAGCTAAAAACTTCTCTAGTTAATATGAAAAGCAAAAAATGTGACCTGAAACTAAAGAAAGCTTAACCGTAACTGGCAGGTGTGTAACAGCTCTGGGATTGGCTTGTAAAAATGCATCTCTCATTCCCCTCCTTGGCTTTCACTGCAGAATACAATTTTTTTCCCCCCAAGAATAATACAGAATTTCATTTTCACTATGTTTCTGTGTGTTCTTAACATTTTTGTTGGCTGTGGCTGTTCCCCTGGCAGAAGGTGTGTTCACTGTAGCATGCACTTCAGGAAGGGACTTCAAGGTACAACTGCACAGCTGCTTGGCTCCAGGAAGATTTTGACAAATAACTGATCGACTTAATATTGTTGTGATCCTTGTTTCAGTGGGATTAGTTTGAAATACATCACAGATTTCCTGTGTTTCACCAGAAGTGGCTGTAAGCTCTCCATCTGTAAGCTTCAGGTGCAGTGGGCACTCCTGAGCTGTTGGGCACGTGGGTTGGGGTGGTGGTTCCAGTGAACCCCCAGGTGCTGGGGAGATGCTGCACTCAAAGCAAGTCTGGTAAGGAGCTGCTTTTGAGGCCAAGCCGTGTTTGTTGGAAGAGATTCATGTAGGTCTGATGGCATCAAGCTGTGTAGAACTCTGAGCCAGGACTTTGCAGACCAAAGATAATTCTGTGTTGTGCATGTTTCATCTTCAGTTATTCTTTCTACTAAATTGCATATATGTAACACTGAAAAGCTTAAAAAATAAAAAACACTTGAGGCTTGGAGAAGACTCACAAACATCATTGCATCGATGTGTTCCAGGTCTGTTGGCAATTACCTTGCTCTTCTCACCACACAAGTCCAGGTAGCTTCAGAAGGAGTTCTAGAGCCTCAGCTCTGCTTCCAAAGGCAACTTCAGTGTGTCTGCTGAACACCACCCTGGTCTCAGGGGTGCTCACCTCCCCGGCAGGAAGGCAGCCCTGCTCACGTGCTGTTTGTGTGAAACTTGATCTTGGGAGTTGGATGTGAGAACTGTTCTGTAACCTCTTTTTTTCCCCTGTAATTTATAAATTGACACTGACAACTTTCCTTCAGTTTCTAAAACTCTGCCCTTTTTTTCAGTACGCCTTGCTATTGACAATTTACTTTTCTCTGTCTTTAAACAGTCTAAACAACTTCCACTTGTTACAAAAAAAAAAAAAATATTCTATGGGATTTGTGAGTGTTCTGATGATAAACAGCAGATTATTGATCCTGTTAAACTGATGTACCTTGTGAATACTGAAAACTTCCTGCAAGTTCCCTAAAGCTGCCTCTTGTTTTCCTCTCAACATGCACACACACAGAACCCATTTTTCCTGAAGTTCCTTCTCTTTCCAGCTGATTAATTAGTGTGGTAGAAAAATGGGTGATCCTTCTAGCTTAGTACAAAGGTAGCTTGCGTTTGTATGTGGAAGCTGAAGAGAGGAGACTTGAAGTCTTCCATTCCTGATTTCCCTGAAAAGAGCAAGAAATGCCTTGCCAGGGTCTTGGGTTTGCAGTGTTTTTTCACCTAAAAAGACAGTAATAAAAATACTTTCATGTCTGCTGCCAGTCTGTGAGTTTGTGTGCCCTCAGCTGTTGGCTGCTGCCTGCAGCACTGCCCCTCCCTGTCTCCTTGCCTTGCTGCTTGCACTGGGCTGACCTTTGATCTGAGTTCCTCTTGCAGCAACTCTGCTCTTGCTCAGGGGTTTGCACTTTCCATGTTGGGATCTTTCTCCAAAGTCCCTTGTCTGCTCTGGCTTGATGACTTCACTCCTTTGTTCTTACTTTTCCTTACCTAGCACACTTGTAGATTCCTGCGGTCTCACAGCTCTGCTTTTATTTGCTTCTTTCATTGTTTGCCTCTGTAGAGCTGAGCTGAGGGCACAGTTGTGCTTCACAGAGCTGGGCCTGGGGACAGGCAGTGACCTGGAGCCCTGGCTCAGCCACTGGCTCTGGGGAGAAGACCGGGATGGTGCAGGGCAGCTCCAGTCCTGGGCCAGCCCTGCCGTGGCAGCAGCCAGGGCGTTGGCAGGGCAGGGATCTCTCATTCCACCCTGCGAGCTTAATTCTGACCTTGAACACACAACTTAGAAATAATGGAAGATGTTAATCTCTCTATCTGTAATGTGTGATCTATGTCTGAAAATGCAGACTTTTTTAACAAAACAACCCACAAGATAACCCAAAGCTGTAAGAGAATGCCATAGAACTTTTTAAAATTTGCTATTACTAAAAGACTTGAGATGCACCTTTTAGGAGGATTGTTTGTTTATTTGTTTTTGTTGGTTTTTTGTTTGTGATTTTTTTGTAACATCCAAGACTAAATGGCTTGCTGTGAACATCTTTTTCTGCCTTAATACTGCAAATGCAAAAATGCTGAATATTCAGAATTTTGGCTTGAGACTCACTGAACTGATGATACCACAAGAGAGCTGGAAGGTTTTTTTAGTCAAGCTTTTCTCCTAGGTCACCTTTAATTTTTATAGCTATTGCTGAAAAGGAAATTTGGACTAAAAATCCTTTCTTTGTTCCTGGAAGTGTTAAAACTCACAGATATTCTGACTTACAGTTGAGGCACCACAAGACTCAAGAGTAAACTTTAGACTTTCTAACGCATTCTCTGTTTTAAAAAAAACTTTTTGTTAGTTTTTGTACACATACATACCTTTGCAGGCTTTCAGAGTAGGTTTGCACAGGTGTGGAGGGGACACAAACTTGCAGGCCAGTTTGCCCACTCAGAAGTATTTCAGTGAGTGTTGTGGCTGTCACTGTAGCTCCGTGGTTTGATTCTGTGTGCCTCCATGCAGTATAAGCACAGCACTCCAGACAAAAGTGGGGATTGAAAACAAAACCATTTCTTAATCATTCTGTTGTAGCTAAATGTAATATAAATTTGGATTTGAGGATATGCTTGGTATTTTGGAGGAACTGTGTTAAGCTGTTTTTACAGCTGACTCGGGGACATTTCTGTAAGTAAAATATGCTGTTGTTCCAGCATGGCAAAGGTCTGCATAATTCATGTGCTCAACTTAATCACTGGTTTTCTTCTCGTGACAATAAATGGCATTGTACCAAAAGCAATATATCCTGTTTGTAGTTACTAGTGGAAATAATTATTACTGTGCAGCTTGTATTTTCATTGTCTTTGCAGCCACTAGCATGGATTGTGTGCACTGACAGTCGCTCCAGGCTGGTAAAGACGTCTGGGGGAAAACCAGGTCCTGGATAACACTTGTTTGCTTTCTGGAAGCTGTTGCTGTACTTTGAAGCAGAAAAGGGTTGCACCTGATGCTGCATTAAGCTTATTTTCTTCAGAGTCTTGTCATCAGAATACATCAAAGTCTAGAGTGTTTTTCCAGATTTGTTCCTCCACATTGTTCCTCTTGAGAAAGGCCCAGGCTCAACACCAGCATCATTAGAGCCAATGATGATACGAGAGCAGAAGGGCTTTTTTTCTCTGCTTGATTTTAGGATTCTGCTAAAATGTACTCAGCTTTAGAGCACAGCATGTAAAAAGACTTTTGTGGAATGCTGCAACTGGCTTTGCTCACCAACTACTTAAGGCCAGATAAGACCTCACAGGCAATATGCAATGCTTGGGAACTCTCTAGTCATAAGTTGTGTTCCCTCCTGCCCCCCAGTAGCAATTCTGCTCTGCAAGTAAACCAGCCCTGGATAACTCCATTCAAAGAGAAGCTTTGGGTTCCATTTCTGGATGCTCAAAAGGGCAAGATATTAAGACAGTTTTCTCCCTATCACTTGCATTTGACTGCTAGTGTAGTACTTATTGTACTAAATTGTTACTGTACAAAAAATTTCATGCTGTAGAAATAAGAGGGCTGAAGAGCTTCTTCTTCTCAACATATATTCCTTCTTGCTTCCTAGGTCTGTAGAAGGACTTACTTTCAGTTATAGCTAAATAGCCTTTCTGCCTTCTCTGTGCACATTTTCTCTGCTGCCTCCTACTCTTCTTAGATGTGACTTACTTTACTGCTAATGGTGTTATAAAACTGTAGTACTACAGGTGTCATAGTAACTTGTAAATAAAATTACTGTAAACGCACAGTCATTTGTGGTGCTGCTCTGTACACGTGTGACACTGCCTTAGCTGTCAATCCTCACTGCACTTCCCTGGAGGATCACAGGCTGTGCCTGTGCTTTGTATGAGGAAGCTTTTGCTGACCAGCCTCCACAGCAGTCTGGTCCTATAACAAGTTCCAGGCAACTCTAGCATTGACAGCAATTATTCCTAGGCAAGAGCACTGCCACATTATTTTCCAGCTGACAGCAAATCAACCCTTCTGTCAGACTGATTGTCAGTGCAGCAGTAATACCGTTTTATGTAAATACCTCTAACCATTTGTATAGCAAGTACAGAACACAGGATTATTTACAGTGGGAGGCTGATAGGAAGCTGTTG